CATGCCTCTCCATGCATACCCTTCAAGCACAAGAAAGTTTTATCCTCAAATCTGGTTCAACATTCAATCTATTTCTATATTTATTTTTGAAGAAAACCAAAGACGAGAAACTCGTTTCACACTTATATGTTGTGACAAAAGGCATTAAGAATTTGACTGCTTTCTCAGATGAATGTGAATATTCATTTCTACAACTCAACCAAAAATCAATCAAGGAGAGTTTATCAAAGTTCTCTTTTAAGGCAGAGTCACAGGAAAGTTCAATTAATGAATCCACTTCTGATGCACTCAATTGTAGTATTTCTTCATTTTCAGTGTCAACAGTAAATGGGTTCTTAATCCACATTTTACTGGCGTCAATTGGAGGAAAATATTCATTTAAAATTGATGTTCTTGGATTGCTGCAGAAATCGCATCTGAGATATTATAGTTTCAGCATATTTCTCTTGTAATTCAGTTGAAGTACAAAAAGATTTAAAGTTTCTCTTGTTAACTCGCTGTGCCCATAAACAAAGTTTTTTAATTGTTGCTTAATCTTTTTCATCAACTTTGAAAATATTAATTTTAGTGCCTTGTAAATTCAGACTTAACTCACTTAAAAGACAAAATATGTCACATAAGTAAGCCACCATTGTGAACCAATCAAATTCATGAAACCTGTCTTTAAATTTAAATATAACATCTTTTGCCGATGGAGGGTGTCGGCTCCAGGAACAATAAAACTTCATCCTTCATTTCAAAGAGTCGTTTCAAAATGTTTCCTTTCGACAGCCATCGACTCTCACAGTGTAGTAAGAGATGCTCATGTTCACTTCCTAATTCGTTGCACAAAGCAGTAAAGATTCTGGAATTCAAAGGACGAGCTTTTATATAATTTATAAACTTCACACATTCTTGAAGAGTGGAACTCAAAAGTGATGGCATAGTTTTCACAGCTAGTGCCTCTCTGTGATTACTGCAGTGCACCCATACACAGTCAGGCACTACAGCTCGAATCTGCAGAACAAGCCCAGTGCAAGACCCTGCCATTGCTCGAGCCCCATCACTGCTCAGTCCAACACACTTTTTCCAGTCAATATCGCTTTGAATAATAAAATCATTGATTAGCTTAAAAATGTCGGCAGCCGTTGTTCTTGTTGGAAGTGGTTTACAAAATAAGAGATCGTCTTGAATGGAGCTTTCATAATCATATCTAACAAAACACATCAAATTGGCAGCATCTGCTATATCAGTGATTTCATCCACTTGTAATGCAAAAAACTGACTATTCTGTAGTCGATGAATGAGCATTTCTTCAATATTTTTTGCTATTTCTTCAATTCTACGTTTCACTGTATTGTTGGATAAAGACAGAGAACCCAACTGATTTCCCTTTTTTCCTCCATAAATACGGGATGTAATACTATTCAATGCAGGAAGTATTAACTTTTCACCAACAGTATGTGAATAACCTGTCTCGGCTATTAGTTTTGAAACTTCATATGAAGAGCCCATTGAAAGTGTACTTTTCATGCTTTTTTTTAGCAAAAGCTAATTCATTTCTCTTATTTATGAAAAAAATCTATGGGCTTACTCACGTATTCTGGATGTTTGCATTCCAAATGGCGTTTCAGTTTTGATGGTTTCATGCACTAGTTGGATAGTTGTGTGTGACAGATTAGGCATAATGGCAAGTGATTATCACTACCAACACTTCTAAAACCAAATTTCCAATACTCGTCGGAATAATTGCGGGTCCAAGAAGTTTTTATCTTCTTATTCTCACTTGTATTAGGCTGCACATCATTCGAACGTTTGTTAGTTGTATTTCCAGTCACATTCTTCAGCCATTTATCCATACTGAAGATGAAAACGAGAGGGTATTTAATTGAAAATAAACAAAGAAAACTTAAGCAGTTAACCTAAAAAGACGTACACGTTGTCGCACCATGCAGAAACAAACCAAGACTGCTGTGTCATGTGACACGAAAACCAATGACACAGGCTCGGCTGCACAAAAGTGCGCGTGCATCACGCAGGAAAATACTAAATGTACGAAATTAATAGGATCATGCACGATAATTTGTATATTTTCTAAGGACCAGTATTTTTTTTTCCAAGGAACGGTACTGGGCTGTGGACCACACTTTGGGAAACGCTGATCTAGAGAAAGGGGTAAACAGTGAGGTGGCAAAATTTGCAGATGATACCAAACTGCTCAAGGTAGTTAAGACCAAAGCAGACTGTGAAGAACTTCAAAAAGATCTCACCAAGCTAAGTGATTGGGTAACAAAATGGCAAATGAAATTTAATGTTTTTATATAGAGACGACAAGATAATTTTCTGTCTTATTCTCTATCCCTTTGGATATGTCTACACTACAGCATTATTTTGAAATAGTTATTTCGAAATAACGCGCCTACACACAAAATGCATTTCAAAATAGCATTTTGCTATTTCGAAATAGCACGTCCACACTGATAGGACGCTGAATCGCATTTAAGGCCGGCCGGAACCGGTTCTGGCAGGGCATCAGGTCAGGAGTTACTTTGTGTGGCTGCTGCCTGAGGCTGAGACCTGTGCTTAAAGGGGACCCCCCCTCCCTGCTTGCTTGCCTACCTACCTCACTGAGGGACAGCAAAGCATTTTTTTCTCTGCATGCTCTGGTTGCCCTTACTCAGGACACCACAGCACTATGAAGCATGGAGCTGGCGCCACCCCAGGGCACTCTGCTGCTTCTCCTGGACATGTTGCTGCAAGCCTGGCAGCACTTTCTGCAGGCAGTAACAGTCTCCCTGGTGTGCCCCACTGGGGGCTTGTGCCTCATTCCTCCCTCACGTCCTTCCACTTACCCCTCCCTAACCCCCCCTTCCTGCTGTACAATAAAAGACGTGTTCATTACAACAAAGCCTCTTTATTGAACAAAAATGGGGTGGGGGGAGAATGAAACTGAAGTGAGACTGGGGAAAGAAGGTGGAAGGTGGGAGAGGGGAGGAGGGAAGGGGTAGGGGGAAATCTGGGAGGAGAGAGCTGGCAAGGGGAGGAAGGGGGAGGAGAAGCTCAGGGTTGGGGGTTTCACTGGCCCAACTGTGTGGCAGCCCTGGGGGTGTGGGGAGGAAGAACCGCCACCACTATATTTATCTGCACCTCTGCAGGTATCAGAGGATTGCAGTTCTAGTTGGCTGCAAATCGCTGTTTGTGGCCAATGCAAGTGGTGGGAAGTGTCACAGACTGGGATGCTGCTTCCCACTGCTCACATCGGCCGCAAATGGCGATTTGCAGCTAACCAGAGCTGCAATCCTCTGATACCTCAGGAGATGCAGGTAAACATGTAAGTGGGGACCCACCAGGGACTATCTCTGCAGACCAGATCCAGCCTGAGGGCCAGAATTTGCCCACTCTGCTTGCTGTAGAAGGTATATCAGAAACATTGGCAGTTGGCTTTTGACCCATCTGCCTGGTACTGTAGCTGTTTGCTGGAGGAGTTGCGCTATGAACATTGATGCATGAAGTAGCTCCTCTGCACAGGATGTGAGAAATTTATCAGAAAAATGCTTGCCAGTGGTAGAAAAGAAAGCAAACTTGGCCTTTCAATATTAGGATTTTTGGGAAAGTTTCTTTAGAACACTATCTATCACTTGGCGGTAGCAATCGCTTTTGTTTTCCGGGTTGTCTTGCTTTTGGTGTTTGCTTCGTAGATAGGATAAATTGAGAGATGCTGAAGGTTAATTACCATATGAGAGATTCATAGAATGTCTGATTAATATAAGGAGGTCCCTTTAGATCAATTTGTTCAGTATACTTAGGGGCTGTGTCTAGACTGGCAAGTTTTTCCGCAAAAGCAGTTGCTTTTGCGGAAAAACTTGCCAGCTGTCTACACTGGACACTTGAATTTCCGCAAGAACACTGACAATCTTATGTAAGATTGTCATTGTTCTTGCAGAAATGTTATGCTGCTCCCGTTCGGGCAAAAGCCCTCTTGTGCAAATGCTTTTGCGCAAGAGGGCCAGTGTAGACAACACGGTATTGTTTTGTGCAAAAAAGCCCCGATGGCAAAAATGGCGATCGGGGCTTTCTTGCGCAAAACCGCGTCTAGATTGGCACTGACACTTTTCCGCAAAAAGTGCTTTTGCGGAAAAGTGTCCATGCCAATCTAGACACTCTTTTCCACAAATGCTTTTAACGAAAAAACTTTTGCAGAAAATCATGCAAGTCTAGACGTAGCCATGGAGTAGACACCCTTAAAGTAAATGAGAAGGGATTGGACTCTCATCCATCAATATCTTTTACTAGAATATGCCCTGCAGCCATGGTATAGGAATATGAGTTTGTGGAATTTTGATTAGTCACCAGACAATATGGTTGCCCAAGGTTAGATTAAGACACGGTCTTATGCATAGGGCCCTGGCTCCAGGAGTCACGCAATGACATTGAAAGCTAAACTGCTTTAGAGATCCCCCTTCTACTCCCAAACAGCTTGGCTACGTCTTCACTGGCGTTCTTGCGCAAGTAAATTTACAGCATCGGAAAACAGGGCTTCTTCTGGAAAAGTTATTCCTCTCCCCATGAGGAATAAGCCCTCTTGTGCAAGAGGCCAGTGTAGACAGGCAACATGAATTTCTTGCGCAAGAAACCCCTATGGCTAAAATGGCCATCAGAGCTTTCTTGCGCAAGAGAGCGTCCACACTGCCATGGATGCTCTTGCGCAAACGCACATGCTAGTGTAGACGCGCTCTCGTGGAAGACTTTTTGCACAAGAACTCTTCCGCAAAACAGTCCTGGCACAAGAAGCTGCCAGTGTAGACGTAGCCCTTGAGAATGGGAGGAGACAAATTAAGTAAAATGCAGACAGTCATCCTAGAGTGTTTTGACTACTGGAGAGAAGGTTATCAGTACATTTCAGATGAAAAAAAAATCTCAAACAGTACAGGAGAGAATGTGATCCAGGAACAAGAAGTGCCTCTAAATAGGAGACAGAGCAGAGAGGGTGAGAATATGAAGTTGTGGAGCTTTGAATGGGCACCAAATGACATAACTGCCCAGGGCTGGATTAAGACAAACTTGAGTCTAGCACTCTGGCTCCTGGAATCACAAGACAACATCAAAAGCTACACTTGAGGTAAAAAAAAAAAAAATGCTTCTCAACCACATGGCATGAGAAGGACAATTTAAGCACAAAATAAGCAGCTACCCTAACAAACATGGCAGGAAAGTGGGGAAAAAACAGAAGAGGGGTAGTGAGACTAGATTCAAGAAAGTATGGACAGTGAAGTTTCTACAAAATTTGAACTGGCACTACAAACACTTTTCTTTACACCGCTTCCAGGATCAATCACCTAATAGAAAAAGGTGTTCAGTCACTTATTTCAAAAGACTTGGTATTTCAGGAAATAAATGTACAGAAGAGATGGGTGTACATTTTTATTAAGAAAATCTCAAAGCAACAACACATTTAGGAGTTAAAATATTTTAAGAATTGATGCTTTTCAAAATAAGCTACCAAGCATTTTCTGATTGAACTGAGCGTCTGTATCACAGGCTCCGAGAACAAAGTTAGTGTATCCAGCCACCAATGTGGAGCCATGGGTTTATTTAAAAGAATGCAGTTGATTTCCCCTGCAGCTTTATGCTTAGCATTTAGATACCACGGTTACCATCCAAATACCAGCACTTACAGCACAGAAAATTCATTTGAGATATAAATAGCTCACAATTGACCATGCTTAAAATCCAGCTGCAATCAGTCCACAATAGCAAGTCAGACAAGTATGCTATTTTCCTAAAATCATTTACCATCACTGAAGTATTAAGACCATACTTATAATGCAAACAAATCCAGTGCATTGTTTCACAACTTGCCAGATTTACAAAATTCCATCACATCGCCTTCCCACAACAAATTGTTTACAGTGTCACTGATTTTCAAAACAGAAAAGAAAATGATTACATTTACTGAATGCAATTTCACAACCCCATGTTGTAGCCCGAAGTTTGTGTTCCATTGTGCAAAACACAGAGGTTTTCCACTGCCTATATTTAGTCTCTGGGGGTATGTCTACACTACAGCACTAATTCGAACTAACTTAGTTCGAATTAGTTAATTCGAACTAAGCTAATTTGAATTAGCGCATCTAGACCTAAAAACTAGTTCGAATTAGCGTTTTTCTAATTCAAACTAGCATGTTCACACTGAGTGGACCCTGAACTGAGGTTAAGGCTGGCCGGAAGCAGTGCTGGCAGGGCATCAGAGGAGGACTTAGAGCGTGGAGATGCTGTGTCAGGCTAGCCGAGGGCTGTGCTTAAAGGGACCCGACCCCCACCCCGGACAGACAGTTCTCGGGGTGTCCCGCTTGCAAAGCAGTCCTGGCTTGGAGTGCCCAGAGTACCCACACTGGTCACATCACACCACTCGGCCATCAGCCCGGCTGCACTTGCCGCAGGCTGCCATCTGGGGAGAGGGGGCAATCGGGGGGCTGCAGGAGAGCTTCCACCCCCAGAAGTCCGCAGAGCCAGCCCAGTCCTCCCCATTGGGAGCTCATACCCCATTCCTCCCACACCTCCTTCCACTTACCCTTCCCTAGCCCCCCTTCTTATTG